TGGTTAGAGCAACAGCCCGTACACCGAGGGGTCACAGGTTCGATTCTGGTCAAGGGCACGTACCTGGGTTGCAGGTCGATCCCCAGCCCAGTTGGGGTGCGTGCGAGAGGCCACCAATCAGTTTGTCTGACATTGATGTTTCTCCCTCCCTCCCTCCTTCCCTTCCTCCCTCCTTTTCACCCTCTCTGAAAAGCAATGGGAAAAATATCCTCGGGTGAGGATTAACCAAAGTTTGTTTAAAAATTTAAAAAAATTAAAATGTTGTGGCGCCGTGAAAGGGTTTCTCTAGTGGACAACCGCGCGCTGACAGCTGCCCGCCTGCTTCTGGCAGGACTGCCCGCGACAAAGGAGACTCAGCTGGAAGGGGAAGTGGCCAGGCCTCCCGGGGAAGTAGGCTCTGGGATTTTGTAGGCGTCGTTGGTATAAAAAGCATAATCATACGTAAGCGCAAGCGTGGTGCTTTTACTAAGAAATCATACGTCGGGGGGGGCGGGGGCTAGACGGGGTCAATGGGGAGAAGAGGGGGACATAGGTAATACTTTCAACAATAAAGATTTTTTAAAAAGAAACTTTACGGAGCAGCAGTAAAGGTCACGTGGTTCCCACCCCGCCGAGAGCCAACCCTGCGGTCTGGGGCTGAAAGCCTGCCTCCGCCTGCTCCATCTCCGCGCACCTGCGGGCCGGAGAAGGGGAGATGTCCAGTTCGGAAGGTGTTTTATTACTGCGTTAGTCGTAGTGGGTTGTCTTGTCCCCGGTGTGCGCGGAGGACAATAAGTGGACTTGCTGGCTGTGGATTGGGTTGCACTTTTTCAGGGCTGGAGGAAGGAGTGACAGATGATCCAAACCCCCTCCTTCCCCTGCTTCCCCTCCTTCCCTCCGGGCTCCTGGGGGGCTCACTGGCTTCTCTCTGGGGGGGTCCTTCTCTCTGGGGGGTCCTCATCCGGGAGGACTCGCCAGGCTGCCTTACAGAGCGGTAACCGTACGTGTTTGCCTGGAGTTCGGAAACGTTGGCTTTTACTAAAAGAGAATTTAACAAGAAGCAGAAATAGGACCTCAGTCCCCATCAGCTGGGTCCTCACCGCTCGGCATGCTGGGAGAGGAATTATGGCAGTCGGTTGCAGGCAGTGCCGCTCAGAAAAGAAAGCCATTCCATTTGCTGTTGAACGGAGGCCACTTCCTTTTAAGCCGAGTTAAGGCCGAGGCACGAGCATTTCGTGAGCGCGTACGGGGCCCACGCGGTGTGATCTCGTCAGCCTCGGTCGCCCAGGGGCCTCTTCCCCGGGAATGGACGCGCCGGGCCATGCGGGCGGTGGAATTTGCCCGAACACTTCAGCCGAGGCGAACCAGGCAAGCAGCCGTCAAAGGAAGGAGGCGGGGCCCTGGCCCGGGCGGCTCAGTTGGGTGTGTGGTCCTGTCTCGGGTTCGATGTCCAGTTAGCGCACACACCTGGGTCCTGGGCTCGATGCCCAGGAGGGGCGGGCAGGAGGCAGCGGTCCACGTTTCTCTCACTGAGGTTTCTGCCTCTCTCCCTCTTCCCACAGTGAGTACCACGCAGCAATAGAAGAGCAGCAGCGCGGACGTGTCTCAAGACCATGTGAGCGGGAGCGGCCAGACACCAGGGTCCACGCGGAGTGGATTCACGCCTTCGAAGTTCCAGGACAGGCGGCGCCTTTCCTAGGTCGCAAGTGGTCACCCTCGGAGGGAGGCACCTCTGGAGATGCCAGCGGCCCAGGCGTGGTCTCGGGCAGGTGGGCACCCCAAGGAGTCTCTGTCCTTGCCCGGGGCACCGGCGGGCGTGGTGCGGTTCACTGCCTCACTGCCGCCTCCCAAAAGCCTTGGGGGGGAGAGTGAATAATGACTTCCCCCCCCACACACACACAGGGCAACGTGAGGTCTCTCCATACTCGCTTCGGGTTCCATTCCTCACCAACCTGTCTGTTATGATAGCAGGTGCTGGGCAAGCGCTGAGAGAGGCTAGAGCCGCCTGCTTCCCTCAGGGCTTCCCTCACTTCCCGTTCACATAACAAGAAAGAGTGGTTTCCTTGGAAAACCTAAAAAGAGGCGCTAGCTCTCCGGGAGAGGAAAGGGAACCTGTTCCAGGGAGTGACAGCCTGTGAAGCGCTTTCTTGTGTTGCTTGTGGCAAACCTCCCAGCAGCCTGAGGAGCAGCACCGTCCGCGGAGGAACGCGGCCACCTGGCTGGCTGCCTCGGTGGTGGAGGCGCTGAGCTCCCGGGGCCTTCCCGGGCCTCCCTGCGCTCCGGGCGGCGTCTGCAGACGGGCTGCCCCCGCGACAGTCAGGCAGCCCTCTGAACAGTGTGATGTCGTCAGTTTGCTCAGTGACTGCTCAGGCGAGAGTGAGCTGTGGCTTCCGCGGTGAACGCTGGGAGCAGGAAGAGTGACCACACTTGCCTGGAATTTTAAAACCGTGCAGCTACCACGTCTCCCCACGCCGGCCAAGCATGCGCCGCGGGCTGCCGCGCTCGACGGCCTCTCACTCCAGGGATTTTGGAAACTTCAGCAAATTTTGAGCCGAGGGAAGTTGGATTTGCATTTTCTAGCAGCTCCTCGGAGTTTTGTTTTCGCATCGTCGGCAAATTACACTACAGACGCACTTGGCTCCCCTACATGTTTCACGGATGAGGGATGAATGAAAAGTCGGCACCGGGCACTGGTTCCTAGTCTTCTGTGGAGACTTGGTGACGGCCCCTAAAAGATTATACGTTCTGAGGGCAAATGCCTTGGAAAATGTCGGTGCATCCAATGCGTGAAAGAACAAAGGCAGGCCTATTAGACATTCACACTTTAGTCTGAATTTCTTTCCCCATTCATTTGCCATACACGTAGCACCTGCCTGCAAAGATGGAAGGCTTTGCTCTCCTCCCCCCCCCCACTGGACTTGGGAGCAGTGAGGGAATGAGAGCTGTGCTTGGGGTGAGGGTGGGGCCCTTTGGGGCAGTGAGTTTGTCCCGGCTGCTGCTGGAGCAGGAGACGTGCCCCCACAGACCATCATAAGAACACTGCTGGGGCCAGGGGTCTAGGCAGGCGTCTGTAAGGAGCCAGACTGCCCAGCCAGCATGGCTCAGTGGTTGAGCGTCGACCTATGAATCAAGAGGTCACGGCTCGATCCCCAGTCAGGGGGTTGCAGGCTCGATCCCCAGTAGGGGCGTGCAGGAGGCGGCCAATCAATGATTCTCTCCTCATTCACGTTTCTCTCTCTCCCTCTCCCTTCCTCTCTGAAATCAATACAAATATAATTTAGAAACCTGTACGGAGCCAGGCAGGGAGGATTTTTGAGTTTGGGGGCCGCCCAGCCTGTCGAGGCTCCGCCACGTTGGTGCTGTGGCGGGAAAGCAGCCACAGACGAGCACACGAGCGTGGCGCCTCCACCGAAGCTGCATCATGCACTCAGGCAGTCGCATCTCCTGTCGCTTTCACACGTTGTGAAATATTCTTCTTTTGACTGTTTTTCAAAACATGTTAAATAGAAACTCATTCCTAGCTCATGGGCCGTGCAAAACCAGACACTGGCCCAGGTTGGGGAGCAGACTGTGTCGAAACCGATGTCACTTACTGCTCATTTTTGCCTAAAAACCCTAATAGTGGCCGCGATGGTGGCACCACTAAAAACAAACCAATGTTTAAAAGGTAACAGGGCCCGGCCGGCGTGGCTCAGGGGCTGAGCATCGACCTATGAACCAGGAGGTCACGGTTCGATTCCCGGTCAGAGCACATGCCCGGGTTGCAGGCTCAGTCCCCAGTGGGGGGTGTGCAAGGGGCAGCTGACCAATGATTCTCTCGTCATTGGTGTTTCTATCTCTCCCTCTCCCTTCCTCTTTGAAATCAATAAAAATATACTTTAAAAAAATAAATAAACATCCAAATGGCCCTTGGCAGAAAAAAAGGCTCCCACCCCTGCTGTAGAGCAAACACCTCATTTCAGAACCACCTAGAATACAGCTGAGCAAGTGGGTCCTCAGGCCGACCATGGTCCCGGGTAAAAACAGTCACAGAGAAATGAGACACGTTCTTCTTCGCTCAGGTCCACAGCGTGAAGGTAGACCTGTGCCCCGTGAGCCTCTGCCCCCGCCGGCCGGTGGCTGATAGGACGGGAGGCTGGGCAGCCACGGGCACATTGTGCTCTTGAATCGGGAACGTCGTTTTTTTGTCTGTTTGTTTGTTTGTTTGTTTTGTTTTTTTCGAATTAAAGAGTCACATTTATTGCAATCGGGGACTATGAGAGGCCATTCCCAAATCTCATAGCAATAAGATGGTGGCAAAGCCAGACTTATATAGGCAAAGATCACAAAGGTATTGATTATATCTCAAGGTTTGGAATGAGGAACCTGGTTCGCAAAAAAGCAGTTTACAGAAGCAGAATTAAGCATGTTAATTATAGTTTTGGGTCTCGGGGTCACTGAATTGACAGAAACACCTTATCTAGAGCCCTCGGGTCTTGATACTACTGAGTTGCCAGGATCTCATTATCTAGAGCCATCGAGGCAATTTAGAGTAATTGCGCTCTCCTGGTCTTGGGACCACTGAGTCAACTGGAACGCATTATCTGTGGCCACTAAAACAATTTAGGATAATTGTACTTTCCTGTTTCCCAGGTACAGAAGAATGTGCTTCGATAGGGAATGTTGTTTTGAGAGTGGCGCTCCACTCAGCGTGTACGTCACCAGGGACGTCAGCGAGGACATCAGGAAGATGCCAGGCCTGCGGAGACCTTCAACCCCCGGGGCTATGCAGTATTTATTACCAAGAACCACGAAAGCGGAGCTGAGGGTTCTGGAAGCCCCGTGGCAGCCGTGGGGGCCCTGGCCCTCGGGGGACAGAAGTCTCAGGCGCCCTGACAGCCAACTGGAAACTGCAACTGAAACGCTGTGCCCTGGCCGCGTCCCCTGGCAACCGAAAGACATGCAAAGCGGGCCTTTCCCAGAAGCGCCTTGCGCCTTGTGCCCAGCAGACACTCAGGAAGTATCTGATGAGTCACCAAGTCCTCTCTGAGCAGGAACCACCCTAACGTCCATGGGCAGATAAGCGGGTAAACGAAACGTGCCCACACGGCACATACACACGGGTCCTGACCGCGTGACCACACGGATGAGCCTCGGGGGCTGCAATGAGCCAGACGCCAGGGGAACAGGTGAGGGTCCCACTGTGCGAGGTTCCTGCGGGTGGGAGTCCCACTGTGCGAGGTTCCTGCGGGTGCGAGTCCCACTGTGCGAGGTTCCTGCGGGTGCGAGTCCCACTGTGCGAGGTTCCTGCGGGTGCGAGTCCCACTGTGCGAGGTTCCTGCGGGTGCGAGTCCCACTGTGCGAGGCTCCTGGGGGAGTCCCACTGTGCGAGGCTCCTGGGGGAGTCCCACTGTGCGAGGCTCCTGCGGGTGCGAGTCCCACTGTGCGAGGCTCCTGCTGATGCGAGTCCCACTGTGCGAGGTTCCTGCGGGTGCGAGTCCCACTGTGCGAGGTCCCTGCGGGTGGGAGTCCCACTGTGCGAGGTCCCTGCGGGTGAGAGTCCCACTGTGCGAGGTCCCTGCGGGTGCGAGTCCCACTGTGCGAGGTTCCTGCGGGTGCGAGTCCCACTGTGCGAGGCTCCTGGGGGAGTCCCACTGTGCGAGGCTCCTGGGGGAGTCCCACTGTGCGAGGCTCCTGGGGGAGTCCCACTGTGCGAGGCTCCTGGGGGAGTCCCACTGTGCAAGGTTCCTGGGGGAGTCCCACTGTGTGAGGCTCCTGGGGGAGTCCCACTGTGCAAGGTTCCTGGGGGAGTCCCACTGTGTGAGGCTCCTGGGGGAGTCCCACTGTGCAAGGTTCCTGGGGGAGTCCCACTGTGTGAGGCTCCTGGGGGAGTCCCACTGTGCAAGGTTCCTGGGGGAGTCCCACTGTGTGAGGCTCCTGGGGGAGTCCCACTGTGCAAGGTTCCTGGGGGAGTCCCACTGTGTGAGGCTCCTGGGGGAGTCCTACTGTGTGAGGTTCCTGCAGGTGGGAGTCCCACTGTGCGAGGCTCCTGGGGGAGTCCCACTGTGTGAGGTTCCTGGGGGTGGGAGTCCCACTGTGTGAGGTTCCTGGGGGAGTCCCACTGTGTGAGGTTCCTGGGGGTGGGAGTCCCACTGTGTGAGGTTCCTGGGGGAGTCCCACTGTGTGAGGTTCCTGGGGGTGGGGAGTCCCACTGTGTGAGGCTCCTGGGGGGTGCGAGTCCCACTGTGCGAGGTTCCTGCAGGTGGGAGTCCCACTGTGTGAGGTTCCTGCAGGTGGGAGTCCCACTGTGTGAGGCTCCTGGGGGAGTCCCACTGTGTGAGGTTCCTGCGGGTGGGAGTCCCACTGTGTGAGGTTCCTGCAGGTGCGAGTCCC